CGCACTTCAGAGCATGGCTGGGGGAAATCTCGTTTGGGCCTCGTGCCCGTTCATGGAGGGTCGCCGTCGTTCATGGCGTTGTCCGCTGGGCTCTTGGGCAATATTCGGCGCCTGTGGGCTACACTGTCGTCGTGCTGTGCTACATCACCGTCTCGTCCCTCGGCAAGTTCAGGGGTAGTGTCCTTGATACATCGCTCTGCGATCGGCCTCATCTCATCGCATCCCCCTGCCTCTCTCTGAATGACTGTGCTCGCCTCGAACAATGCCTTCGTGCGCGCATCCCCGGAGTACCGCGCCCCTCCTCCTTTCCGCCTTCAAGGCCCCCGCGGCCTTCTACAAAAGCATCGCCGTCCAAGTCTGCGTAGCCCTGCCGCGCTGCTCGGGGCAGGGGGCGGGGGGAGGGCAGAGGGGAGGGGGCCGACGAGGTCGACAGGAAGGGGGGGGGGCGGCAGATTTGGAGGGGGGAAGGGGGAAGGGGGAAGGGAAGCGACGGGGGATGAGGGAGTGGAGGATCACGACCCCCATTCAGATGCAGCGTGCTGCTCGCGTCATCCTGTTCCTTCTGGACCTCTTCCTTCCTCAACGAGGTACGCCTGCCTGCTGGTGGTCGCTCTTGCTACCTCCTCTTTTCCATAACACGCACTCTCGATCACATTCCTGGTCATCCTCCTGATCCCCTCCCCTTCCCTCCTCCTCCGTTTCACCCACCACCTCGGTCAGCGCAGGAATGAGAGGACAGCGAATGCGAAATCGCGTTGTATCTTGGGGGCGTCGGCTCGCCCCAGCATTTCGCGCTCGCCGGGGCCCACGGCGCGCACGAAGGCGACCCTTGCCAGGGTGCCCAGCTCCACCCCCGGACGAAACCGTGCCGCCTGCCCCCTGGTGCCGGCCTTTCCGATGCTGCCCCACACCGTGGACCACCGTCGCGGGTGCCCTGGCCTCCGTCGAGTGCAGCATCTGGCCATCGCTCGGACGTGCATTCCCTGTGCGTTTTGTTCGGTTTCGTGCGTGGCTTTTTCGCCAAATGATCAAGGATGCTCCTCGATGGTCCTCGCCGACGGAAACATGCACACGTCCGAGCGATGCCAAGGCATGAGCGCCCGCGTCTCAGCAGAGCTTCCTGTGTTGTCCA